CCCCAAAACCCCAAAACCCCAAAACCCCAAAACCCCAAAACCCCGCAATTTCGTCATCAAATAGAAAACCTCATTATCCCCTTACTCTTCCTTCCACATTTCTGCTGGCGCTCTACTAAACACCACTTCAACCAGCCCATCAATTTTCCCTTTAGGCACTAAGAAAGGTGGCCTCTTGATGCCTCCGTGCTCCTTATAGTCCCAGTTCATAACTTTGTCCTTCATTTCTTTAGGCAGGCCTTCGTAGCCGATGATTGCGCCCAGGAGGCCGCCTGCGATGCAGGCGTTGGTGTCTGTATCTCCTCCTCCTATTAGGATCTCGGTTATTGAACGGGTGTAGAAGGTGGAGTCTGGCTGTTTGCCATCGATGAGTTCTTGGGCAGCGAGTCTGAGGTATCTGAGGCAGCAAATGAAGGCATGCTTCATCCAACCCATTTTGGACGATAAGTTACCAAGTTTATCTTTCTTAGATTCTTCAAGCCATTGATAGTAAACTTCATTGTCTGAATTGCTTATTTCATCAACAATTATGTCGTAAACTTTATCTAGTTCGACTCCGTTGATGATTAGAGTAATCATGTAAATGTATAACCCTTCAATATAGTGTACTTCTTTGTTTGAGTGAGTGAAAGAGGCATCAAATTTTGCCATCTTAAAGACGCAATCTCTATGTTTTTCCCAGTCTTCTGCTTTAAAATCTTCAGTATTAGGAACCTCCATCCTATGACAGAAGACTGCAAGAGGGGTCGATCTCATGAGTGACCCATTACTCTGTGAGTCTTGTCAATAAATATCTGCTCTCTTCTTAATCATCTCAGGATATTTTGGGTTTACCTTATAAAAGGCATTTCCAATGGTGATTCCACAATCAAATGGCTTTGAATTCATCCACTCTATATAATACCTGCCTCAGCTCTTAGTCATTTCTATTTCACTGAACTCTTCAGCATAGGATAGGCCTTGTAGGAGTCACATTGTGAGTTCTCCGTCATCTGTGACCTGACCTGGGCCAACTTGGAAGTGGCCTCCTCCAGGCATAGAGAGGGCAAACTCAGCTAGAGAGATTGGGTTAGAGCCAGGTCTTATTAGGGTATTTTTAGGCTAAGGCAAATACTTGGGAAAGGGTGGTGTTGAGGAGAATGGTGGAAGAGGGGCTTAGTGATAGGGCATTTTGGAGATTAGAGATTAGGCGTTTTGGGGGAACATAATTGGGGTTTTGAAGAATGAGGAGGGTGATGTGTTGATGGTTGAGGTTTATATTCAGGTATTCTCATTTTTTGGATTTTTAGGAATCGGTTATTGTTGGTGGATTTTTGTAAAAAATTTGTGGAAAAGTCAGATTTTTGGAGATAGTAAAATATATAGATTTCGAAATTTGTTAATTTCTGATGATTGTAATGGAGATCTCTAAATTTTTGCTAATTTATCTAAACTGAGGAACAGCAATAATCAGATTACCATGCAAACTTCCAACAATTCCAAATAAACATTCATCCAAGATCATCAAAACACAAACTCCATTAAAAAAATAGCAACTTCATCCCAAAAACTTCCATTAAACAATTTTCAGCCATACTTACCAAACTGTTCATCAATCTCATATTCTCAAAACTCAAGAAAAGTCCCGATGGCGTCTCCACAAAGAGCTCCGACTACAGAGCCTTTGGCTCTGTCTAGTCTCTGTGCCTCTTTCTGGTCTTCTTCTTCTTGAGTTTTCTTGTGTGTGGCTGAAGCTGGGGCTCGGACAGGAGGGGAGCTTGGGTGTGGAGCGTGGAAGTGGGAGCGGGGAATGGGGTGGAAAGGAGAGGGTTCCATTGTTGTGGGGTTGTGTTATCACAAATTTTCAAAATTGTTTATGAACAAAGGGGTTTTGGGGTTTTGGGGTTTTGGGGTTTTGGGGTTTTGGGGTTTTGGGG